GATGCAGCCTCACCAGTGCCAAGTACAGGGGTAAAATCACTTCCCTGGTCCTACTGGCCATAATATTTCTGTTACAGATTAGGATGCTGTTGGCCTTGTTGGCCACCTGGGCACACTGCTGGCTTATGTTCAGCTGGCTATCTGCCAACACCCCCAAGTCTGTCTCTGCTGAGCAGCTTTTCAGCCACTGCCCCCCAAGCCTGTAGCGCTGCTGGGGTTTCATTTCAGAGGGCTATTTAAATCACCAGTAAAAGTAGGTTGGGTGACTGCAGATCACCTCCTCGTTGACAGGAATTCCCATAATTAATAATAGTTAAAAAAAAAAAAAAGAAGCATGACTCACTATTTCTTCTCTTGCTATTGTTACCCACTGGAGTTATGTTTTCTTCTAGAACAAGAAGAATAAGGGATAGGTTTTAGTGTCACCATAGATACTCCTGAGTTGGCATTACGTACTGGGATGTGCTAGAAAATCCAAGATTTGGCCTTAACAGTTGTGAACTGACAATGGTTAGCTCAGTTGGTTGAGCTTGGTGCTGATAACATCAAGGTCACGGGTTCGATCCCCACTCGGTCCCCATGTGTTGCCTGATCTAGTTGAGAGGCATCCCTGCCCATGACAGGGAGGATGGATTAAATGATCCCTAAGGTCCCTTCCAGCCTAGGTCATTCTATGATTTTATGTAGGTGGAAGATATGGAGCATGACAGGGCTGCAGTGGCAGAAAAAAACATCAGGGAGATAATCAACTTCACTATCCCTTGCTGATGTCTTCACTCCTTCCAAACATTTTACTGTTTGATCAAGGTTTTAGATGCAAAGCAAGGATTTACACATCTGGATAACTGTTAGGATCCTCAAAGTATACCTAGATCCTCATTCATCTGCCATTTTCTAGTAGCCTAGAGTGTGATTTTAACATTTGTTTTGCCACTGGACTGCCATCATATTGGGCAAGCAACCAAAAGTAAACTTAAATTTCAACCTTATTTTCTGGTTTTACTATAATTCTAGAATCGTAGAACAGTTTCAGTTGAAAGAGACAGTCAAGATCATCGAGTCCAACCTTTGTCCTGGCCCTGTCAAGAGCACTAAAGCATGTTCCTCAGCACAACATCCACCTGTCTCTTAAACACCTCCAGTGATGTTGACTCAACCACCTCCCTGGGAAGCCTATTCCAGTGCCTGACAATCCTCTCAGTAGAGAATTTCTTCTTAATACACAACCTGAACCTCCTCTGGCACAGCTTAAGGCCATTTCCCTTGTCTTATCACTCGCCACTAGGGAGAACAGACCAACCCCTGCCTCGCAACAACCTCCTTTCAGGTAGTTGTAGAGAGTGATAAAGTCTCCACTCAATCTCCTCCAGGCTAAACAGCCCCAAATCCCTCAGCTGTTCCTCACAGGACACATGCTTCAAATCCTTTACGAGCTTGGTAGCTCACCTCTGTACCCTCTCTAGCACCTCGATGTCCCTCTTGTAGTGAGGGGCCCAAAACTGGACACAGGACTTGAGGTGTAGCCTCACCAAAGCTGAGTAGAGGGACCTGATCACCTCCCTGCTCCTGCTGACAACCCATTCCTGATCCAGGCCAGGATGCCATTGGCCTTCTTGGCCACCTGGGCACACTGCTGGCTCATGATCAGCCAGCTGTCTGTCAACATGCCCAGGTCCCTCTCTGCCTGGCAGCTCTCCAGCCACTCCTCCCCAGGCCTGTAGCGTTGCTGGGGGTTGTTGTGGTCAAAGTGCAGAACCCGGCACTTGGCCTTATGAAAACTCATGTGATTGCCCTTGGCCCAGCGATCCAGCCTATCTAGATGCCTCTGTAGAGCCTCCCTGCCCTCAAGCAGATTGATGCTTCCACCCAGCTTGGTGTCATCTACAAACTTACTAAGGATGTACTCTATCCCCTCATCCACGTCATTGAAGAAAATGTTAAACAGGACTGGGTCCAGTACTGAGCCTTGGGGAACACCACTTGTGACTGGCCACCAACTGGATTTAACTCCATTGACCACGACTCTTTGGACTTGGCCATCTGAACAGTTTTTCACCCAGTGAAGCATATGCCCATTCATGCCAGGAGCAGCCAGTTTCTCTAGAATGCTGTGGGCAAGTGTCAAATGCCTTACTAAAGTTGAAGCAGACAACATCCACAGCCTTTCCTTCATCCACCAAGAGGGTCACCCTGTCATAGAAGGAGATCCAATTTGTTAAACAGGACCTGCCCTTCACAAACCCATGCTGACTGGGCCTGAGCACCTGGCTGTCCTGCATGTGCTGCACGGTGGAACTCAGGATGATCTGTTCCATATTGTCTCAGAGTTCCTGTTTCCTTCTTTCTCATGGATGCTACTAATAAATAAAGGTTTAAGAGTAGAGTAACAGTTACTAAAGAGTAAACTAAAGAGTAAACTCAAGCACAGTTGTAGTCTTCTGCTGCTGCTGTAGGTTTTCTAATAGCATTAAGCCATGGGCTTGCTGATTTGGAGATTAGCTTCTTGGTTTTAGCTCTCCCCTTATTTCTGAGAAACTCAAAAAAATAAACTTGCAAAAAGCCTCTGAACGTTTATTGCCCATGAACCTATAATCATTTAATACAACAGACAAAATCAATGCCTGATGAGATGCAGTTCATGCCTGTGGGAAAAATCTGTCCCTTTGCTCAGTTTGATATGATTATAAAATTACAGTGTTCTGTGAGCTAAAGAAAAGAAGGTACCACCAAAGGAAAGCAGTTGAAGGTTGGGTTTTTTTTTGTTGTTGGGGTTTTTTGTTGTTGTTGTTTTGTTGTTGTTTTGGTTTTTTTGTTTTTTTTTTTGAGGAATGGTTCTATTTAGTTTCTTAGAACTAACAAATAAAGCAGTTATGGATTAAAAGCAGAAATGGATATATAAATAAAGCAGTTATGGATATAAAAGCAGAAATGGATTCAGAAACTATGTGCAAAATTTAGGATTCTCTTATTAGTGAATAACAGAGACTAATTTATCCATTTTCTTATTTGAGCAATGTGGGAAAAAGACTTTTCCATTTCTGTAGAACTTTAATTTCAGAAACATTTCATTTTCAGGTGAAATAAGTATTTATATATTTAAACTAACACTAGATAAGTTGTAGTCTTGTGATTATGGAAGTCCAGGTATGATTTGATCTCTTTAATTTCTCTGTACAAGTATGATTGGACTTTTCTCCTCTGTTTTCTAACACTGCAAATTAATGTCTGCACTTCTAGTATCTTGACAGCTCTAGTTTTTCCAATTTCTCAGAGTTATTGTGCTCTCCAGAAATAATTACATTCAGGAAATGTTACTGGACTATGTTGTCAGTCAAAAGAGTGGTCTAACCACTTATGGATTTCCTTGAACTAACGAACACTTCATTATTTGTAGAAGGGGGAGCAGCTTCCATTTTACATATTTGGAGAGCAACTCACTGGAAAACAAACAGCATGGCATGGAAGTGTGTCATCTGGGACTTGGGAGTTTCATCGTAAAACCTCTTCAAGACAGATATGCCAAACTATCCAACTTTCCAGGGACTACTGAGCTACCAGCTGTTGTAGGGTCCATTTCTTAGATTTTATCTCAAAAAATGTTCTGTGAAACTGTTAACTACCAGCAAAGTTTGGTTTTTTTTGAAATTTAGCTGAAAAATTCTTAGCTGTTCTCTACATAACCTGCAAATGTTTAGTGAAACAATTTTACATAGTTTTGTTTCACATTTTGTTCAGAGTTTGACGTTTGTTCTAGGTGCAATAAGTGTAAGTTCTCTGTTTTCCAGTTGCTTATTTATTTATTTTTCTCCTTTAAACATTTGATTCAAAGTGACTTGTGAACAATGATTTTTTAATTTTTTTTTTCTTTCCAAGAGGGGCATATTCTTCTGCTGTTAACAGTCTTAAGTCTTTCCTCCTTTCATTTTTTAGATAGCAAATGCTATGATGAAGCCTGAGTTAACAGGCTTGAGCCACTTGCCCACTTTAGAAAGTTGAGTTGTAGATGTTTAGAAATGGTGGCTGTGAATGTGTAGATTTTAATTTTTCTTTAAACAGATACTGTTAAGAGTATCAATAGAATTTTTTTTAAGAAATTTATGATGTGAATTAATTACCTGAATTAAACTGTTAGCTAATGCTTTGATCACAGAATCATCATAAAAACTGGTAATGATTAGCAACTTTTTAGCCTTTAACATCGGGAACAGACCTAAATCCCAATGAAATTAGTTAGTGCATGTGTTGGTTGGTTTAAGGGGAGCTGTAGAGTGTGCTGTAGAGTGAATGCCCTTCTGAAATTTTGAGATGTTTTGTCCTGTAGTAAAGGAAATATGTTAAAATGAAACTGCTTTCTCTGATGGTTACTATGCTGTACCCTGCTATGAGAGCACAAGTCCTCTGCTTGGTGTGGTATTTTTAACAGCATCCTAAGTATCACTAGTTCTTTCAAGGCAGGCTTTGTAGTAGCATGTGGACCTAGGTTCAGACCCTCAAAACTACCTAGATACCCAACTTTTGATTGTTAGTATTGAAGCACTGAAGTACATCTCGGGGTATGGATGCAGTTCTTGATCATGTAGTACTACATTTCCCAATGCATGATATGCTAATATCTGTAGTCCAGTTATTACCAGTAGGACCGAATGTTAGTAGTAAACGCCTAGGGGAATGTAGATTACCTGAATTCAGTGCTTGTTAATTCACATGGTGTTTTCAGTGAGCCTTTTAATTTTCTGGCATTTTTTCTTATCTGTTGAGTCAACACTGGTTTTCAGAATGGGATTTTCATGGAAATGCTGGCTTTGATTTACTTATGTAGTAAAGGTAATAGAGAAGTGCGTGTTATTAGAGACTTGTCTGAAATGACCTGTCTTTGCATTTCACTCTTGCTCATCCACAGAACCCTCAAAGTCATAACTGTTCACATGCCAGGATCCTTTATGGGAATTGTTGACCTGCAAAATTTAAATTTTCTTGCTCACTTCTTTTTCATATATTAGGTCCTGTTACTGAAGTCAAAACAGATATATATGTCACCAGTTTTGGACCTGTTTCTGATGTAGAAATGGTATGTATTTCTGGGATTGAAATGCCATTTCCTGATTCTGAGAAACCATTAACTGCAGTAAGGAGTGGATGCTTCATCTGTACTGTTCTGTCAATCATGCAAAGTAGGCAAGATTAGTAACAGCTTAATTTACAGGTTATAATTAGATACATCAGGCCTGATTCTGGTCTCACTTTCACTGGTTTTTGGCTGGCTTAAGGAATTCACTTCATAGGATTAAAAACAGGCTTTCATGGTGCAGAGGCAGAATCAGGCCCTCTGGGGAGCGTCTAAGTCAGTCTACTCTGGGGAAAATGTGTAATATCTTTGAAATTGCTTTTCCTTTCTGAAACTTGTGTTATTCTCAGGTGAATAATAATGACATCATTTCACAATAGTTGTTGACATTTTCATTTCTCAGATGAATGCCCTTTGGTGATCTTTGTGCCCCTTTTAGCATCACTTTCAGCAAGTGTTTGACTGATAAGTGTTTTCATAAGTGTCTGCAGAAATTGAACGTCAAAGTGACATGCATGAGATAGTAACAGAAGAGGAGTATTACGTTTGCACATACTGTCATTTGTGCATGAATGGCATCTGCATTCATTTGTGGTCAAATCCAGCAAAACTCTCATCAGCTTCTGTAATCCAGTGTTATACTCTTAAATCATACAATATCTTTCTATAAAATATCGAAGAAATCCCATAGAAGTAACACAGCTGTATGTGCTGAAGTGGACTTCTTTAAAGGAAAGGCAGTTTCAGGACAGTAACTTTCTTCCCATATAGTGCTGTCGTGCACCTCATGGTGCACTCAATTTGGTTCTATCATGTGGAAGGGTGTGCAATAGGAAGACATTTTTTCACGTCAGCAGTCTCATGTTGAAATGCATCTTACCCCTTCAGTGGTTTTCATGTGCAGTATGAAGCTGTTCAGTGTGACAAGGGGGACAAGAATCTGATCCCGAGGAAATCTGGGAATGTGTGCCTCAAATCTAAAAGGAGAGCTGCGTGGCATCTCTCAGGTTTTACTCAAGCATTTGACAAGGTGCCACATGGGAAATTATTAGTTATATTGGAGAAGACAGCAGTGAGTACATGGACTGAAAGTAGGTACGGAACTGGCAAAAGGAGAGTTTACTGCAGCTGTTTCCCCTTTCATCATTAGGGATTAGTTAGAAGACTATTCAAGGATCCAGGGATCGTTTCTGGAATAACTTTTAGTCAGTGTATCCATTAGTTACCCAATATAATCTGAATGTGGCTGCACTGATAAAATTTGCTGAAAGAGCAAAGTGTGATATAGCCTCAGTGCAGGGGATGATCAGAATATCTTTTTTAGAGCTGGGTTACTTTGGTACTCAGTGTAATGAAGACAGTTGAAATCTTATATTACCGAGTCTGTCACATAGAAGCTAATAACAGAAACTGCTACTTATGAGCTATGAAGTAACCGGCACGAAATGACACTAGAAAAGAGACTTTTCATAGATTAACTGTAAATGACATTGGAGCATGCAGCCGTGGAAATGAAAACAGACTTAATTCCAAAATGCATTGCACTGGTAGCCTCCGTACCAATGGGAATAGATACAGTCACACAAATAGTTTCAGTGGTAACATTATGTAGAAGAGTTTGAAATAGTCAGAAAACATGTTTTGGCCTAACAACGAAATCACAACTCTAAGTTAGAAAGGACTTAAAACTTTGTGTTACCTTTTTTATGCCATGTGATGCACTTTTTTGTGTGAAATTCGTTAGCCTCCTGAAATGGAAATACATTCCTTCATCCATTCATTCACGTATCATTTCTCATGATGTGCCTGTGTCTGCAATTCTGCAGTTGTTTGTACGTTTTCTTTGGAACGTCTGGTAGCTTTTCTAAGGAAGTTAATAGGACAGTTGTGTAGTTAGAAACAAAAGTATGTACATGCAAGTCTCTCTGTGTAATGTATTATCCATGTTTTGTGGGCACGGCAAAGGAAATATTTAGCTTTCCAAAGTTAAAAGCTTACTTTTCATGAGCTGAAATTAAATTTTCTTTCTTAACTTTAAAATGGAAATAATTGTTTGTCCTGGTATTTCTAATTTAGCCAGCAGCAGAAAATTCATGGATATCATTTCTTTAAAAATCTGTTGACATTTTTTGTCAGAGATCATTGTGTTTCCAGTTTCATGCTTGACTGCAAACTCAGTCGCCTGCTTCCTGAAACCTAATTAGGTTAATTATTCCTTAATGATTAAATATGTGTCACAATTTACTGATATGACTAATGTGGGAAATTAAGCTATTAGAAGCAGACAACACATTTTAATTGGTGGAAATATGATTGTGTAGTGGACTTAGCATTTTTTTTACTACTGATTTTTTTGCTGCTGAGGGATTTCTTTTTTTTTGCAGGAAACACACAAATCTTTTGTTTTTCTGCAATTTAATACAGGAATATACAATGGATGTCTTCTTCCGCCAGACATGGGTAGACAAAAGATTAAAATATGATGGCCCTATTGAAATTTTAAGACTTAACAACTTGATGGTTTCAAAAGTGTGGACTCCTGACACTTTCTTCAGGAATGGGAAAAAATCCGTTGCACATAATATGACAGCCCCAAATAAACTCTTCAGAATAATGAGAAATGGCACCATCCTGTACACGATGAGGTATCTTAATGCGTTTGTTCGGCTTCTTACAATTACTGTATGCAAAAGTTGTACTGCCTAGACAAAATGGCAACCAGAGACTATTTAATTTGTTCCATTATAGGCTTACAATAAGTGCAGAGTGTCCCATGAGATTAGTGGATTTTCCCATGGATGGTCATGCTTGTCCTCTCAAATTTGGGAGTTGTAAGTTGCAATTATGAAATTTCTTGTAACTACAGAATTTAAATAGTAGAAGTAGATATTGAGCAATTACTAAACTTTCTGAATATTAATCTTGATACACAATCCTTCTGCAGACAAAACTCCTGTTAAATTCCTTGGGAATTTTATTTAGGGCCTTGAAAATTAAACCCCTGAAGATAATTGAAAAGCAGGCGGTGATTCAGCTATTACGCTAAACCACATTGCTCTGGCTACATAGTTACTTGAAATACGTAGTTCTTGGTTCTTAGGGAAGAGTTGCAATTGGATACTCAGTGAAGTGAGAGATTCTCTGGAGAAGACAAAGAGGGTGGGATCCATCTCAACTTACAACAGCCAGGCAAAAGATAACTTGGGGAAGCAGATTATTTGAATTTATGATTAGTGGATGCACATTGGCATCCTAAAACAGATGTGTAGGTTATGTGCAGAGATTTGATCTTTAGTTGTATTTATCTATCTCCTGACCTATAGCGGACATCTGCATGGCAAGTTTAGACTAGATAAATAATTTTTAGATTGAAGAGAGGAATGTTGTTGCAGGTGACCTTCCTTTTCTGCTTTGAAGTCAGACAGATTTCTGAATAATCTCCAAACTTTGGCTGGAAGTAACATTTTGGGACATACTGCATAACAGCTGAGGAAGTTACTTACAATTCCCTGATATGAATCCACGGTAGAGACCTCTGAGATGGCCTGGGGATCTTTGATGCACTCCATTAACTGTCTTGTCACTCTTCTAAGCCTCTCCAGTCACTGACTTCTCTGCTTTACACTCCATTGTAGTCAGTGGATGTTAATCTGTTTTCCTTGATCCCAGAGCTCTGAAGTTAGAGATGGCTGGAAGCTCCTCATAGTCTTTCCTTAGCATAAATGTAGCTTATACAGCTGGGTAGTCAGCCGAAAGAGGGATATTAAAGACACCGTTACAATGAGATTGGAGATCAGGTGCTGCCAGTTTTGGCCTTGGTATCAGTGGTACAATAGCAGACCTTTGGTAGTAGGGACTTCTACACAGGCTTATTTCTTCAGGCAGAATCACCAGCCAGCTGAAATTGCACTTGACACTAATCTGATATTTTTCTCAGTGAAGCTTGAAATAAGATATAGTCATTTCAAATGCAAGACTGATTTAAATAAATTTTAACAGGAGTTTGAGCTGTGTAGGGGTTGTATGGTAGCCCTAAGTTATGTCTTTTTGTTTTGAATGTAAAATGTTTCTTTGGGTGTCCTTATTTTTGGGCTACTGTGGGTTTTTTACCAACCTCTAGTTTCTGACAAGTATTTTAAACACTAGTTTAAAATATTATAGCTTTTAATATAGTATGGTTTTTAGTATAATAATTCTTTGTTGTAAAGATATGTGCACCCAGTCTCCAAAGTGTATCCTTATATATGCTCTTTTTTATATTTTAGTAAATTTGAATGGTAAAATTTTAGATAGAAATTTCTAAAATAATTTAAAGATAAACTCTACATGCCCAATAAGGGCCGATCCAGAAAGAACTCGTGTTTTGACTTCACCTTGAAATGTGAACTCAATTTGTATGTGGCACTTGACATACGATCTTAGCTGCTATTTGTTCTTATCCAAGGGTAGCTTTTAGGGGTAGCTTAACATAAAGAGAATCTTCTAAAGTTGTTCGTGTGATTCTTGCCGTTCGGTTTCAACTTCAATCGGGCTCTTAGTAAGGTGTGAGAAGAAGTTTCCTGTTTATGCAAACTGATGCTGTGTTGTAGATGCTTATCCAAAGAGTGAAATGATTTATACCTGGACAAAAGGACCTGAGAAGTCAGTGGAAGTTCCTGAGGAGTCTTCCAGTTTAGTTCAGTATGACCTGCTTGGGCATACGGTATCCACTGAAACCATTAAATCTATTACAGGTAGGAATCTCGTCACTAAAAATCAACTTGAGGTAATACTAACCCTGTAACATTTCCTGAGGCTTTTTTCTTTCCTTCACCTAAGGTATTCTACTGAATGTCATAGGGTATATATTAAGGGCTGAGAGCATAAATCTGAATTAGGTTTCTGTCCTTCAGATTTACATTTGCAGATTCATTACAGTAGATTGCGACGGTCTTTCAGAAAGCTTTCAGAAAGCTAGAATGAGATCATTACTCCGAGGGACAAAATGAGCATTTAATCACTGCTTAAAATGCAGTTTGAAGAGTCAAGAGGATGCCTGGGTGAGGAAGTAATTTCTCAGCACTGTATCCACATTATGTGCAAAAGACTTCCTTTGTTGGTGGCACAAACAGCTTGGGGTAGAAGTACAGCATACAGAATGGGTTATTAAAGCCATAAAAACCCTCTAGTCAGATAAGGATAGGCACAAATGCATTAGTCACAATAGATACTTCTGCTGATTTGTGCTGTAAGAAATAAGGCAAATGGCAACTACAGGCATCCGAAATGAGTGAAGCATCACTGATGAGCAGTGTGGTGATAAACAAGCCTGTTCCCAAAATATTTTTAAAATTTGGAATCATTTGCTAAGCATCAGCAAGTTTGGGTGTTGCGAGATGGTCAAAATGAAACAGATAAAGCAAATATATTTGATGTATTGCTCTACGGATATTTTTCTCAAAGATAAAACAGCTTTTTTGCAATACACTAGAAATTTACTTCTCAGCATATTGATTATTATGAGTTAACAATGGAATTTCCATACTGTTCCCAAAATGCTCATTCTGGAGTGCTTTATTTAGACAGTTTATTCAGTTTATGGTAAAACTGCAAATTTTTATATATTCTTTTTAATATGGATGATAACAATTTAGATAAACTTAACGGTATTTTTAATTCTTGTCAATGGTGTTTGCATTCATAGTGGTGCTGATGTGTAAACCTAGTAGAAAGCTGAGATGCTTCCATAATATTTAATGTACATTGCTATTGTTACTGTTTTATTTGGCAGGTAGGTACCAAAATGTTATGGATACTATGGTAGATAGATAGCTTGTGTCTTGGGACACTTTTCTTCAACAGCTGCCAAAAGAATTTTTAAAATCATGTTTGTACTTTAAAATGTAATTCAATATTAGCTGTACATTTATAATTCTGTTGATATCAGCTTCTGAATGGCACTATAAGGACCTACTACTTCCAGGATTTTTTTGTTTGAAATTTTCATTCATTCTTGTCTCTAAGGAACATGTCTTGCTGTATGCATTAAGTGGTATGAATAGCATAATCTTAGCTGATAGTCTGAAACAGTTATACTACAACACAAATTTTATGCACATCCAAAGAATATTTTCTTTATTTTTTAGGTGAATATATTGTTATGACAGTTTACTTCCACCTCAGACGGAAAATGGGTTATTTTATGATTCAGACCTATATTCCATGCATTATGACCGTGATCCTTTCTCAAGTTTCATTTTGGATAAATAAGGAATCCGTTCCAGCTAGAACTGTGTTTGGTAATTATTTCTTTTTTTACTTTTTCTTGTCCTTCCTCTTGTAATGACTTTCACTAGAAGAGGCTTTTTTTTTTTTTTTTAGTGCATTGGAGTGTAGTGCCTCCATGCTAATGCAGAAACAAGGGAATAATATAAATTCAGAGGAGTTTTTCTGATCATTGTATGAAGAATGTTGTTGTATGAATCCTTTGAAGCTGAAGAGAAACGTGGAATATATAATCTGAAGGGTGACATAGAATCATAGAATCATTCGAGTTGGAAAAGACCCCTGGGATCGAGTCCAACCATTAACCCTACTCTACAAAGCTCACCCCTAAACCATGTCCCCCAACACCACATCTAAAGGACCTGTAAACACCTTCAGGGATGGTGACTCAACCATGTCTCTGGGCCACCTATTCCAATGTCTGACTACTCTTTCTGTGAAAAAAAATTTCCTAGTGTCCAGCTTAAACCTCCCCTGTTGCAGTCTGAAGCCATTCCCTCTTATTCTATCGCTAGTTACCTGTGAGAAGAGACCAGCACCAACCTCTCTAAAAGGTCCTTTCAGGTAGTTGTAGAGAGGTCTCCCCTTAGCCTCCTTTTCTTCAAACTAAACAGCCCCAGCTCCTTCAATTGTTTGTCACAAGATTTATTCTCCAGGCCGTTCACCAGCTTCGTTGCCCTCCGCTACACTCGCTGACACGTGGTTGCCTGTGGCCAGTGGGTGCACATCTCTGGGGATTCTACCTGCTGGGTGGAGCAAACTGGAAAGATGTGACCCTGGGTGATACAGTCAAGTCCTTAGTTTACATCTGGAGAAGTTTTATCATCCAATGGACAGTAGTGTAATTACTTGAACTCGTACTTCCTAAATTACTTTTAAAATCATTTGATGGAGAGTGTGCCTTATGTGCAGATACCTTCTTATGAAATATGTGTGTCACCCATGGAAGCTTCCTATGAGTAAGGCTTAGATTCTGTTACTGTAATTTCAGGTTTAGTGCTTTTCTCTCCTTTCTGCCATTGCCATTATGAAAATGGATTCAAAAAGCAAAATGGTTGCAAGACATTGAAATTGCCCTCATCAAAATACAGCTTGAATGAGATGCTGTAGTGAACTCGGAAAATAAAAAACAGAAAAGCTTCTATGGAAGACAGAGCATTAGAGAAATTGAATGGAAATTCGATGCTTAACAAAGAAGTAGGATAAAAACAATTTTTAAAGCAGTCCTCGTAAAGCAACTTTATAATATACTGTAGTCTAAAGCAGGGCTAAACAGGAGGAGAATGTTCTACAAAAAGCCTTTCTATAGATAGATAGATGCTGGTGAAAGTGATAGGAATTAATGTTTCTATGTGACGGCCCATTCAGACTTGTAAGTAGAGTCGGAACAGTTTAGTATCACAAATTAGACATGTTTGAAGATTAGTTATAGGAGAAACAACCTATAAACCTAATAAGAACCCCACTAGCTCTCAACTCAAGCATTACATTAGGCAAACTAATGTATCGCTTCACATGCCTTTGCAGTGATGTTGAATGATGGTACTTTTTTTTTGAAGAGACTATTGCCATGAACTGGAAAGGTGAAATCCGTATTTACAGACAAAATCATAGAAACATAGAATGTGTTGGGCTGGAAGGGACCCTTAAAGGTCATCTAGTCCAACCCCCTGTAGTGAGCAGGGACATTTTTAACTAGATCAGGTTGCTTAGAGCTCCATCGAGCCTGACCTTGAATGTCTCCAGGGATGGAGCCTCCACCACCTCTCTGAGCAACCTGTGCCAGTGTTCCATCACTCTCATTGTAAAGAACTTTCTTCTAACATCTAATCTAAATCTACCATGCTCTAGTTTAAAACCATTGCCCCTTGTCCTGTTGCTACACATCCTTGTGAACAGTGATAGTTGAAAATGTAAAAATTATAGAGCAGTAGAGGTAGTAAGTGTAATTATATTGATATGTGATACTGAAACCAAATAATAATAAATTTGGACATAGTTAAATTGCAGACAAGTCTCTAAAATGCCTTTGAAAGCAAATGGCTTAAAGTATGGTTAAAATAATCTTTTAATTTTTCTGACAAATTCCGACAGGGGCCCTGCTTTCTAAATATTTTCTTAAAAGAAGATAGAGATGTTACAGGCAAGAGATAGCAGATATTCTGGTTTCATTCCTATGGTACCAGCTTTCTAGAGGAGCTGTCAGATGAGGCTACCGAAAGATCTTTCCATTGGACACTGCATGATTAGGGAGAACTTGGCAAATGTAGGGATACACAAGGAACTAAAGGTACATCAGGTTGTGATTTCTGCGATCAGAGCGAAAGACACCTTAAGGTGGTGATTGTGGGAGATTGGTGTTTCTTAGAGGAAAGACAACAGTAATTTTAAAACAGGTTTTTAGCATTGACTTTTATATTAAAACATTCTTTATATATTTTTATATGGTTATGTGCATTTCTGATCAGAAGCTTGCAGATTTTTAGCTCTGGATAATTACAGTTCATGTGTATATATAGTATTTGTTTACCAGAACTTAATTTCCTACCTTGTAAATCCCTATAGTATGTGTCCAAGGGCAGCTGGAATAGCAACTCTAAGTCTTGAAGAAGAATGATTTAATAAGGGGAAATCTGATAAAGACTATATCAGTAAGGTATAATACAGTGACGGCCTCCCCTCCCTTGCTTGTGTTTGGGGAATGATTGGTCATTCAAGTCACTTCACTCTATTTTTATATCTATTAAACAATGTCTTTAGAAACGCAATTCAGCTATTTGCATGAAGTGGACAAAGGTAGAATCAGGAAGGACAGGGCTGAGCAGGGATGTGTCTCTTTCAGGAAAAAATAACTCTGCATAATTTATTTTTTTTTCTCAGACTTAAACATTTTCAGTGGTGTGTTTTTCCACACCCTCCCACTGCAGAAGGTTTTGTCAGCTTGCATCTGTGTTTTTATCCTGCTGAGTTTGCTCTGAGATATTCTTTGTGCTTTGATAAACTGGCTATTACTTTTTCCTTTTTTTCTTTTTCAATAGGAAGGACTGGTTTCATATTGCCCAATTCTCTATATGTCAGTGTCAAGTTGACGCTTTTTCATATCAGAGTATCTAGATGGAATACCATCATTTAGGGAATAGGGTATGTGAGGACTCTGTTGAAAAAACATGCTCTTAATTGTTTTGAATCCTACTGAGCATATGCAATTAATCTTTAATTAAAATGGATACGTAAGAGTAAAGACAGTTCCATGTGCAGCCAGTCTTCCTTGAGGTTATCATGATAGAACTTATGCAGTTTTCACTATATACTTGGTATTTTACATTTGTATGATATGGGATATTTTGGATGAAAAAGGGAAAAAAAAGAATCCGTACCTTTATACAGCATGTATTTGCATTTGAAGTATTACCATGAAGTTGTCATATTTTGAGTTCATTGTTCATGCTCGTACACTTTAATTAAAAGTTCTAATTAAATTTTATCAATTGACTAGTAGCAGAAGGGTTTAAAAGATGGCTTCTTAATTAAAAGTGTTAACTTAATATTCTAGTTTTCCTTAGCACCAAAATAATTTGCCTTAACTTAATGACACGTGGATTGAGTGGGATCAGTGGAACAGATGCAGATTAATAGGTGGCATTCTGAAGCGATTTCAAGAGAAACTATGTTTTTCTTGCAGTCTGAGGGACACTCCTCTATTTAACAAATTTTATTCAAATGTTTAGAAAATAACTTGTTAGAAATTCTACTGAACTCTTGACATGTAAAAAAAAGATATCCACATTTTGTTTGCGAGAACTGTACATGTTCTGCTGAAGTCCTGGCTTTCCATACCTCCTTTAAAAACTAGTTAACTGTTTTGTGTACATAGCTGCTCTTAGGTATATGATGGTGACCATGACTTAAATCTAATGCACTATTTGCAAACAGTAGAGAAAGACCCGTAAGTGATTTAAAAGTCTTCATTTGAAGCTCCTTACCAGTTCTCACTTTGTTTTTGCTCAGATTCAGAAGTGCTTTTGCTTTATTTCTTTGAAGGAATAACCACAGTGTTGACAATGACGACATTGAGCATCAGTGCAAGACATTCACTGCCAAAAGTATCCTATGCTACAGCCATGGACTGGTTCATAGCGGTCTGCTTTGCCTTTGTGTTCTCTGCTCTTATTGAGTTTGCTGCTGTCAACTATTTTACTAATATTCAAATGGAAAAAGCCAAAAGGAAGACGGTAAAATCCCTTCTTGAATTTCCAATTGCTCCAGTACAAAGGAAAAGAAGTACAGAGGAGACACTCACGGTACGTTTTCAACTTATGCAAACATTTTCTGTCGTTTTGGTAGTGTTTCTCGGTAAAAACAGACCTTGAGCTTTCTCTGAGCTAACGATGTAGTGTAAGTCAGCCTAATGGAAGGCTAATGTAACACTGTATTCAATGATAAAACGCAGTAAAACATGATTTAATTCTTATTTGCATTGTTAGATTAAATCGAGGGAGAGAAGGAGGTGGTTGTGTCCATCTATACCTGCAGTCTCTTATGTATTTAGTTGTGTTTGGTGAAGTAGGTTTGGAGTTTTTAGGAAACTTTCTTTCCCTTTGCAGATTGATTCTGACTGGACTGATTATACAGACTAAGATATTACAGATCATAAGGGCAGCATGTTACCTAATGTGGCTAATGTCTTTAATGAATTAAAATAGACTGAAGCATTGCAGTTGTACCTTGGAGCATTTCCCTAGACATCACAGTTCTCCTTTTGTTGCAAGCATTGCCTATCTAGAGTTTTCTTCCTTCATTAATTATCTGGGGAATTTTTGAAGAATGCTGGATGCAACCTTTGAGTCCACCATAGATATAATTTTTATGTAATTTTCATATCTTTGCATAGGAGCTTAACTCAAGTCCTGAAAAGTTTTTGGGGATCTGTTCAAGAAAATGCTTTCCACCTTTCCTAGTGTTTCAGATTACGTGCGGCATGTGTGGTAGCTATTTTAGTGTGCAGACCAGTTAATAAAGGCTCGATCTTCATTTCCGCTTGAGTTCACCAGTGATTCTTCTTTCGTCCCTTTTTCCATTCCCATATACTTGCTTTTGGCTGCATCACTCCTCCTACTCATGAAACCCGTAGTCATCACAGTGCTTGCACCAGCCCTGCAGCAGGCCAGTAATTCCCAGCCCTGGCAGACTCTTGGTGAAGCCATTCAAGAAGTAAGATGCTGACAGCAGCGTTGTAATTTACTCTTCCTGTCAGGCTGACTTTATAATTTCCTTTGGCTGAGCCATGATTTAAGAACCACTGTTTTAGACTAACTCTTGGTAATTTTGTCTTCTGTCTCTTTCACATCTCGTTTGTCTCCTTCCCTATTCATTTACTCTTTTTGTGCATTCCCTCCCCTTCCATTTGCTGTCGCTGCTCAGCTACTGTCCACTCACTTCCATTTTTCTTCCTCTTCTTTGCTCTCCTGACGTAGATCTGTTTTCAGTCTCCTGGCTGTGGTTTCTGTTATCTCCTGCTTCTGCTTACAAGGATAGATGTGCTCCTGAAGAGTTGATTACTCGTCACTCTGTTGGCTGCTAGTAAGAGATGGGAGCAAGAAAAAATATGTTTATAGTAGCATGTAGTTGCCTTGTACATAGAAATATACATATATGAAATAGTAATTTTCTCAGGTAGCAATGATGGAAGGTTCACAAAACTGTTTTGATTCATGGTTGGAATTGCTGTCAGTCAGTTGTATATCATGCTTAGCATGCTTAGCTGTTTACACATATGTTTTGGAGAAACCTTTTCTTTTCTTTTTCTTTTATTTTAACAGCAGTAATACAACACACACAGGTTCACCCAAATTGAAAGCTATATGAAAAGAGATGAGAACAGTTCTATTCCACTGCTTAACTAATACCTCAGTGATGTGTATTATAGTGTGCTTACAGGTTTGAGGATTTTGAAATCACTCAAGGGAGCAAGCTACTTTTTTGAAGGGTTACACATTAATATTACGAGTGTGACTGAATGATAATGTTGATTGTACCTTGAACTGTTATTTTATTTTATGTCTTTTTCTCTGATTGTGCCTATGCTAAGACTTGAGTTTTTGCTTTTTCAGGACAGGTGTCTAGGGTGAGCCCACAGATATTGTTATAGAGGCTTAGCTATCACACAGTCATTTCTGTGACTGGAGGATGACTTCTGTGCTGGTTTCCTGCTGCACAGAACAGAAGCTAATATGGCTGTTCTAATTTATTAGAAGCTAATATGGCTGTTAGATTCTGCTTTCCCAACTGACATATAATTATCTCCTTAAAATTTTTAGTTTTGCTTGTAAAAGACTAACCTAGAATTTTCTTATGCCTTATTATGAATCCGATTTTTTTTCTCTGCACATATACTGTCTAATCAGTGCTGATGTACCAGAGATAAGAGAATCTCAGCTTCCCTGAGAGTAAGTTTGTGGTGCACAAAGAATGCAGGACAACAGCCTGACTGTAGCGTGTAATCTGTAAGCATTGTTTCTTAACATAAAGACTACGCGTTTTATCTCCATACTTAAATGATAGGCTTTGATATCTTGCACAAGATAGTGTTTAGAAAAAGTCTGTACTACGTTGCCACTTTTGTGGCAGAAATTCCATTGTTAGCAATACAATTGCCAGAGCTCAAGGAAAGTTTTATTTTAAACTTGAAACTTTTTTCAAACTGATTTGCCTATTTGCTAGTCTCCCAAAATTAAAAATATTCTCTTAGGCCAGGGAGGAAGTGTGTGTAAATCGGGAGAGAAGATGCCCAAATACCTAAACCTTATCTTTCTTTCCGGTGTGTATCTCACCATTTGTAACATGCTTTGAATCTTCTACTAACTGGAGGAGGAGATCCCTCTCTTACGCCTGTCAGCCCTCTGCTTTTGCCTGCCTGAAATGGCATACAGGTGGCTGTGCTGGCTTTTCATAGGTGAGGTCCCATCTGTATAGGTCCCCAGGAAGCAAGAAAAATACAGAGCAATTGAGGCTGTTAAGGAAAAGAAACAAGGTGATATTATACTTTTAAATGAGGGTTTCATTCTATGGGCTGTTGATTCTGCATTATTCACTAAATGGTTATGTGCATGGTTTGGGGTTGTTTTTTTTTTTCCTCTACAATAACGTGGTAGGATCGTCCTAGAGGGAGCAAGTTGGGCTATGAAACTGGGTTCCATATAGAACATAGGGCTTTTACTATCTAATAGTTCTAGAAATTAGGCATATTGATAGAAAAGTTTGGTAAAATAAAGATAAATTACATGTAATTGGAAGTCATTTTTTTACATGTCTGATCATTTTTTGACCATAGAATTAAAGTGGTTTTTTTTTTTTTAATATAGAATCAGTTCATGTATTATTCACAATAATTAGAATTCTTGGTGGTGGGTTGGTTTTTTCTATTCAGTCAAAAACACTTTTCCAGTTTTCTTGGATCAAAGGCAACTGCTATCATTATGATCAAATGAACTGAGATGTGTTCATTCATATTACATATTTCTTCACCACAATCAATGCATTTTTACTGTAGTTGAACTATATTATTTTCTAAGTTATTCTGTTGTGTAATTATATTTACTTCTTTGGAGCCATTCAATGACTGTTACTGATCGATATATTGTAAGCATTAAATAAATTTTGGAGGCTAGCTAAATAATCTGAACTGTATTAATTCCAACAAAAAATCCTGGTGTCAAGCTAATTCACTGGGCTGGTAGTGGCAGGAACGAGTCTGTAGTATCTGCAGATGCAGTGTGTGCTCCTCTATCACTTTGGTTTTAGCATGGTGTTCTTCAACCTCTTTTTACCCTCCTTGCCCTCCTTGCCTCATTTCAACTCTTTCTTCTTATTGCCTATAACTTTCTGATACAAACTTAGTGTGTTTCCATAGTGAGGAGCATAGTTTTGCAGCAGACATTCCATGAGTAGGATGCCTACTTTTTGACATCTGCCTTGAGTTCACAAGGGACTTGAACAACCTCACTCATCCCTTCTGTGAGGCACAATAAAGCAGTACTGAAGTCTGTTGAAGCCAAGACAGGTGACTTACATCACGGTCTCCTGTGATTTCCTTGTCTTGGGAGCAAGTTAAAATGCTTTCAAGTTAGAAGGAATGAACCTGTCCCTAAATGGTCTGAACTCCTTTATTCAGTAAAAGCAGAAATGTTGTTGCAAGTCAGTGTGTGATGCAAATGAATGATTTATAGTTTGTTATTGGACTCCTGAGTCTATTTTTATGCTTCTGCACTATTTCCTTTTCACTATATTCTTATGAAGTTTATTTTTAAAGACCTACCCAATTTTTGAGACAGAGAACGCTACTGAAAAATAGTATTCAAAAAACAGGCTCCTGAACACTGTTAACATGAGCTTCAACCTCAGCTATTTGTTAATAGGATGTGAAACTTGGGAGAAAAAACCCCAGCAAAACAGGTCAGACTCAAATGTTTTGAATGGAATAATTTCTTCAAACTCGGTCATAAGTAGATTGTAACTCTCAAACTTTCTTACTTTTTTCTGAAGACAATTAAGTGCCATATTGTCTTGAGTAAGCTCCACAGCATCTCATGGAGGAACTCTAGGGTCAAGCTTCTTACTGCAGTATGCATGTGCACTCCTTTCATTATGGCAGCAGTTCATGCTGGGGTAATGTGTGACAGGCATGTACTTGTCAACATTACAAGAAATACTTTCATGGGGGCAACCTGCACACCTGCTTTCATGTGATTAAGATGTTTTTTCTGTAGTATGGAGTACTTGCCTTTTAGTCATATGATGAACACAGCTCAGGTTACATGATGGTCGGTGGGAGGAAGTTGGGGATCCTTTGACAGCTTTTGGTAAACAGATGTCTAGGGCAGTTAGTCTAGAGCCATTAATCTGGCTCGTGCCCAACTCTGTGCCCCATCTCATGACTTCCAGGGCAAGGATTGGGCCAGATAAATTGTTCTGATGGGCTGGGTACAATCCGGAGGCCATAGGCTGGATACTTCTTTTTTTTTTAGCATGCATGTGTGCGCTGATTCTTTGTTCTTAATTCCTGAAGTTGATTAATGCTAAAACAGCAGCAGATACGCTCTTGTGTCTAAGGCCTAGCCTTTGAACCCAAACTTCTTGAATATGTAGATATGTCCTGTAATGAAGACGGGTACATAAAATGTACCAGACCTAGAGTAGTATCGCTTAACTTTTTTGCTTCTTTTTTGGACTGGTAGGATAATAGCTTCTCTTGTCCCAGCAAATGAAGTGGAGCTAAACCCACTTGCCTCATACGTGAAGGGAG